GTTCGCTACCCAACAGAGAGTTTCCTTTTCCTGGCCAATTATACACACAAAAAGTTCAATGGCACCGTTAATGTCTCCAGTTTTATTTAAAACGGCAACTGCCCCATACAATGAGGTACGATTACAGCCGACCCCTGTCTTCCCCGACTCTTGGAACTGCCGTGCCGGCTGATGAGACTGGATTCATTTGTGGTGATAACTGGAATGATAATAAACCGGCAAACACTAAGGTCTCGTTACTACACATGTAACATGCTTAAAACCTCATTCTGATACACCATTCTATACACAGGAATATGCCGCGTGGTATAAACAATTAGAAATTTTTGCTCGACTATCCTCCCAGTCTTTGAGGCTCAATACCAGTTACTTTAAGTGAATACCCCGTGCGTGGGTGCTGAGCTTACACTGTTCTATTCTAATGTCTACAATGCTTCGATACAGAATAACTTACACGACTTGAATTACTACGGCCATTGAAACTTATGAAGAGTTAGTAGTAGGTGTCTCTCTCGGAGAGATTCCTGGCAGCCAGATTCGGTTTCCACCTTCATGCAGGCAGAAGAGGATTCTGGGGTGAGAGCCTCCAAAGGATCAGCATGGTTTGCTTATCTGGGGGGGGCAACGTGATTGGCTGGCTATTCAGTAATAGCTCCACTTACACAAAGGGCCGCGTCCCGACGAACCCTTCGTTATATATTTTGCGGCCCTCTTCAACACTTCATCACAGCCAAAAAGCGCCGTAAATGGCCAAATCAGTCCAGAACTGCAACAACCCACGACAAGGGCATAAACTTCCTCGGTTGTATCACCATTCATTAACATTTCTAGACGTGCGTACACCGACTGGATTCGACTGATTCCCGATCTGTTTCCCGATCTACAGTGCGAGGACATGTCTCGTTTCCAGTTGCAGGGTAAATAGATCCAACATTTATTAAAAAATGGCAGGAAAAGTTCAGAAAAAAACACAATCCCCCGATCATAGCTATCAATTATTTCGCGTACGAATACGATTATACTGCCTCATCGCCGCGTACGCGTACCGCACCTCGGCGTACGCGAAGGGAATACTCTCTAAATAGGCCGGAATCCGGCATACGAAAAGGGCTTCTGAACCCCCTCCTTGACTGTTCATTGTGGGGTGTCACCACTGTCTCTGCCTACCACGTCACTTTCATATAATATGGGAAGTTTCTGAGTCGGTTTCTTCTCCACATCGTTTTGAATAACACTTTGTGCCATTCTTGTATTGAACACTTACAGTCGCCACACTTTATTGTCAACCAGGCATGTCTCTTATACACGGGCGTATCATCCCTCTCAGGAAAGCCCTCATCATTGGTTTTAGGGCAACAGCTGTCCACTTTTTCCCTCTGGAGATGGCCACGATGCTGCGTCTTCGAATGGCGCGGCTCAGGAAATTTCCTTATGGTCAGAAGTATCTCCTTGTCATTTCGTTAGAGTGCTCCGTCCTTCTTTTGGTTAGGCTGCCAAAAGATAATACCGGTGATACATGTTATTCCCTCCTATTCTGCCTATTCTGTAGTGATAAACTGTGACGCGATGCTTTATTCTTATGAGATGGGCTCACAGTATCACGCTATTGAGAAGTTAGAGAAAGTATTCACAAGTACTCACTTTCTTCCTCTTGTCTGCTCTTTCCTCCACTTCCTCTGCCTCAGACTCCACCAGCTGCAATCAACAATCAACAATTACTATTACCATTCCAAAAGTGGCACAAATGGTCAGCATTTTATCACCGCGTACAGCCGTGCTGGGAAAATTCAGTTAGAGAAAGTATTTCACAAGTACTCACTTTCTTCCTCTTCTTGCTCTTGTCTGCTCCTTCTTCTTCTTCTTCCTCCCACTTCCTCTGCCTCAGAATCCCACCAGCTGCAATCAACAATCAAACAATTTACTACTACCCATTCCAAAAGTGGCACAAAGGTCAGCATTTTTATCACCGTACATTCCGCTGCTGATGGAAAATTTCAGTTAAAAGAGACAGTATTTCACAAGTTACTCACTTTCTTCCTGTCTTGCTCTTGTCTGCTCCTGCTTGTTCCTGCTGAGACCCCATCTTTTGCTGCCCCTCTTGACCTGTTTACACCAGTACTGGTACCTGCCTTGGGAGTGCTACCATGTCCTGATTCTTCGGGCTGCAATCAACAATACGCATATTATCTAGAGTATAGGACATTGACTTACAGGCATGTATCACCGGTCTACAATATTGGACAGTGATTTATATGGGACAGTGATTATATACATGGCTGTAAGTCACCTGACCCGGTATGATGGCATTGCTGTAAGTCACTGTCCATATTTGTAGACCACTTGATACATTGCGCTGTCTAAGTCACTGTCCCATACCTATGACCACTGATACATGCTGTAAGCACCTTCCCATACTTCGGTGAGCATTTTATCACCAGTGATACATGCTAGCTCGAGTACATCTGTGCCTGGGGCAAATTCAGTTAGAGATCTTTGTCAATAACTGATGTACATGCTACTGAGTATACCGAGTACGTCAGTCGCCAACTGGATATGCCTGCGTGCCTCGCAACATCATCTCCAGTGAATAAACTATTGATGCTTTAATTAAACGTGATTAATATAAGTCACTGTCCATATTTAGGACCGCCGTTTGATACATGCCTGCTTGTGCCGCTTGGGGGCCTTTTGAGTGCAAGACTTTGCCATTCAAAAGTGCACAATGTGTCAGCATTTTCATTCACCGGTACATCCGTGCTTGGGCGAAAATTCAGTTAGAGAAAGTATTTCACATAGTACTCACTTCTTCTTGCTTCTTGCTCTGGTCGCTCCCTGTCTTCTTCTTGCTCACTTCCTCTGACCTCATGACTCCACCAGCTTGCAATCAACAATCAACAATTACTTATTACCATTCCAAAGTGCCAACAAATGCGTCAGCATTTTTTATCACCGGTACAATCCGTGCTGGGAGATAAACTATGATGCTTATAAACTGATATATAAGGCACTGATCCCATATTTTAGACGGTGATTACATGCCTGTTTGGGTGCGCGTTGGTTAGCTTTTTGAGGTGCCAGACTTGCCGACTTAGGCAATTGGAGGCAAGTGGCGCGCGATATTCACGACTGGCACCTGCCTGCGCTCCTATTAGATCCGGAGTTTGCTAGCGACACCATTTTACAACATTTATTGCTGAAAAGAAAACATTTACAGCCATTTGCCCATTCAGACGTCTTGACCATTCTGTGACATCTTACCAACCAGTCGGAAGTCACTAAGTCACTGTCCTCATACTTCTAAGTCACTAAGTCACTAAGTCGTAAGTTGGCCTGTTAAGCTCACTGTCCCTATTTAGACCGGTGGATACATGCTGGAGTCACTGCCCCATACTCTAGACCACTGATACATGGGCAGTTTTTACAATTCAGGATACAATTTTAGAAAAATGCACATTATAGCTTTTATAAATAAAATACAAAGAAGAAGTGGCCTCATTTGCATTATGAAGACGAAAAATTCCACTTGGAGGCTTTAGCAGCGGTGTAATACACGGCTGATACACCGGTGAACACCGGTAGATACCGGTCTGATTCAGTAGTTATACCTTCACCTGTCCCATACTCTAGACCACTGATACAATGGGCCCCAGTTTTACAATCCAGGGTACAATTTTATAGAAAAATGCACATATAGCTTTTATAATAAACATACAAGAAGAGACAGTGGCTCATTTGCTATGTATTGAGACGAAATTCCATTGGAGGCTTTAGCCAGCGGTGACTACACCGGGATACCCGCGTGTACACCGGGTAGATTACCGCGTGATTCAGTAGTTCTACCTTTCACTGTCCATACTCATAGACCAACTGATACCATGGGCAGTTTTACAGTCAGCGTTACAATTTTAGAAAAATGGCACATATTAGCTTATATTATTAAATAAAGATACAAGAAGAGACAGGGCCTCATTTGCTATGTATTGAAGACGCAAAATTCCACTGGAGGCTTTAGCCAGCGGTTGATACACCGGTGCATACACCGGTGATACACCCGGTAGATTTACAGCGTGATTCAGTAGTTCTACCTTCTGTTCTAGAGTTTGGCTGGCCATCTGGGAAGCGATGATATGCGTCCCAAACATAACGTGTCCATGGTTGGTTCGTTTTGAATGTTCTCGCTCAATTCTTGTCTCTGTTCAATCCCTTAGTGGCTGCCTAAGCAAGCCGATTTGAATTTGCATTGTTGTCGTGCGCCGCCTGGCGAGCAGATACAAATCCAAATCATTGAAGATCGCCAGCAGGGGGGCGCGCCAGGGGCGATGTCCATTTCGTGATTTGGCGGTTTGTGGAATAACTGAGCAATCTTTCCTATATTTTGCGTTGGTTTTTCCGTGTTTTCGGCGTTTCTTGGAAATATCTCTGAAATGAAGCGCAGTCTAGATGAGCGACAAGGTGGCGGTGCGGCTAAACTGCTCGTCTGTCTCGCGCATTTAAGTAAGTCATGCTAGAGCAAAGTTCGGGACCAACCTAAGCGCTCCGAATTAGGGAATGACAGACCAAATTTCATTTAGATCCAGTGTTTGAAATAATTGGTATTGGGCTGTGGTGACATGTTAGTGATATCTGCATGAATGGGCCCCAAAATCAATAAATGATATCATGATATGAGGGTAAATTTTAGATATCTTATGATAATGATAATCTGATATGAGAAAAAAATATGATATCTGATATGAGCGTCTGTCTATAGATTTTGATATGTAAATATGCTGTTTTTCTTATAAAATATACAAATATTCGGGCGCTTGCGCCATAAACTCTCGTGACTGCTAAACACAAGCTGTACCCAGTTATGCTTTCCGTTTTTTACAAAGCTGCTTGTCAATATGTTCGATGTCAGATGGACATCGGACCAATGTCTAGACATTGATCCGATGTTGAAATACCAGTCGGTACGCTTATTCACTGGTTACGTTTATTAGAATGACGAGAGTATTGGCCTAAAGGTTGAGCTTTGAGGTTTGAATTGGACCGTTAAAGTCAGGTCCCATCCTGGGGGCATTTTCCATTCGCTGTTCTCTGAGCGTACTCTCCAGAACCTTCCTGATTGAACGTATCAAACGTTCCCATACTCCGCGGTGACCACTAGCTGGCGGGTTGAACTCCCAGTCGACGTTCAACTGCAGCATCGTGTTGTGTATCTGCTCCTTGTTCCATCCATTAACGGCATCCTTCAGCTCTTTTTTCGCACCCACGAAATTCGTGCCATTATCCGACCTCATTTTGACAACTTGGCCTCTGTGTGCGATGAATTTCCTCATAGCATTTATGTAGGATCCCGTATCAAGAGAGTGTGACACTTCGATGTGTATGGCTTGCGTTGTGAGGCATGTAAATATTACACCGTATCTGTTTTCTATACTCCTTTCTCGCTTGACTTTGAAGTTTCCAATATAGTCAACCCCGACTCGGCTGAACGGCGGCTTGTCAGGTAGGATCCGATCTGTTGGCAGGTCGGCCATTTTCTGCTCTCCACGCTTTCCCTTCCTGCGTCTGCAATGAACACAACGCCCGACCAGTTTGCGTATCATGGAGTTGGCGCTGGCTATCCAGTATCGTTCGTGCAGCCTCGCTAACATATGATTCCTTCCGCTGTGCCCAACTTCCACATGCACCTGCCTGAGGATGAGGCCAGCGACGTGTGACTCCTTCGGAACAATCACCTGATGTTTGGCAGCTTGTGGCACGTTCGATCGTTGGAGACGACCGCCAACCTTCAGAAGCCCATCTTCGACGACTGGATCAAGGCGGGCCAGCTTGCTTCTCTTCGGCGTGAAGCTCCCTCCTAAACTTCCTACAGTCATCGATGAGATGGTGTCCTTCGCAAAACAAGCATGATACAGCATCGCCGCTTGTTTTATTGTTTATTGGATATTGGTTATTAGAGTTTATTGCTGGAAAATCTTTTTGAAGCAATATTGATGGGAGTCCGGTGAATGGAATTTTTTCAGACAGCAGTGTTGTGCACCAACCTGGGCTGGCGGTTCCAAGTGTTTTATTTATACTGAAAACAAGACAAAAAAAAACAGTTTTCAGTTGTTAGGGTTATGGAAAGACCACCATTGGTCTTTACTTACCTTTACTTATAACAAAGATACATATATTACTTTTGAAAAATAATTTTGAAATATAACTACCATCACAATCCTCCACGAAATCCCTCCAGAATGCCAAGGCCATCTCCTCAGCCTGCCTTTCATTGCTTCCTCTCTTCGATGTCAGTACATCAAGCGCACCAAGATACTCCCCATAATGCCCTCCCTCGTACATTCTTTAAAGCTATCATAGTTGACATGTCCAGTTGGCAGGTATAGCACATCTTGTATAATAAACTGGTAATTCGTTAGTGAATCAGATCTTTTTACTTGTAACAAAGATAAATATATTACTTTTGAAAAAGCGAAATATAACTACTATCACAATTCTCCATTCCATTTCCACGTGCTGGCTTTTGGTAGCAGACCATTCACAAATTTAATGGATGGCTGCGGGTCAAAACCCATGGTTGGCTGCATCTCAAGAACTGTTGAAACGATGAGGATGTCCTACAACTCTACGGGCAAAAGAAAATCAGCAAAATTTAAAATTCAATTTACTGGTAAGGACCAAATACTTTCAAAAGAAAATTCATGAAGAACCATCTTGTACTTATCAATAACCTCTCTAAATTAAAGGGTGAGAGGGTTGATCATTAATCCGCGGTACTGGGCGAACGCGGTATCATTGTCGATCTCGATACGAATCATACTTGCAACAGTGAAGTAGTTCAGGTACTTCGGCACTCCAAGATCCCTAGCATCGGTCTCGTACGCGAGAAAGTGTTCCGTCCTGAGTCTGTGATGGATATGCTTGATAACAGCCCATTCCGAGCTGTACTTCACGGCCATTATGGACCAAGGAAAGTTTTTGTGCTCCTTGATCACGGTGAGGATTAACCTGTATGGGGTAAACCCGGAGGTCAATCCTCTCGAAGCAACTAAACTCAGTCGTAGACTGCCCATCTGAGCTGGGGCTTTCGAGAACATTTCCTCCAAGACATCAGCCGTAAAAAACTTTTCATAAATTGTCCAAAGGGTACCCAGCTGCCCGAGAGACGGCTTCCTAGAGGACAAAAGAACCCCATCCTCGATTAGTCCAGAAGCAGTTTTGCTCAGCCACATGTCGGTTGCGTTGTTCCTTTTAGCACAAGCCATTATTGCCCAGCAAGTCGTCCTTGCCCAGCAAGTCGAGGAATCAACGTCTTTCTCACAGTCAATTTCGGGAGATAGTTGGATCTCTTTCATACATTCCTCAAACAGTTGTTGAGAGCTCCAGGTGACTGTGGATTCCTCTTGTTCTCTGTCTCGCCGAGTGTGAAGTCAACACTCAACAGAAACACAAATCAACCATTCGTATATTAAAGAAAAACATTGCCCACAGAAATCCCATATTTCCAGTCCTATAGATTGCATACATCTCTAAAGAAATATGTATCGGCGGCCATGCTACTCATTCTAAAACATACAATTAATTACAACTTACTACCGTGACCGGCATGGTAACTGACATGTTTCTGCTAAAAACCAATGGGTTGGTGCACTGTCACACAAAGGTTTCACGGGCACGACGGTCAGTATCAGCAGCGTAATCAATCCCTGTAAATACAATCATTGGCATCATAAATACCCAGCAACAAGACAAAAACAAAGAATCTCTCTTAAATTCACGCTGGATTCTTCCGTACACTAAAACAATTCCATCCACCATAACAGTTGACTAAATCCAGATAAATTGCTGTAAATTCCACACTAACTCCCAGCAGTGCCATTTCTTAGGTTTGCTGGCCTGCAGGCTCCACTTGCTGGTCGGATTCGTCCTGGCTTCCCACGTCAAGCTGATGCGCAATCCTCTCTGATTCCACAACCTATGATGATCAGAAGACGGTGTGCAACACACACCCGAATCGCTTGTGTAGTGGTGTCCTTCAAAGAAACTTGAACCATCGTCCTGACCTGCAAATTGCAAAGGATCCTGTTTCCCATCTCTCTGCCTAACTGCATCGTCGTTCTTACAGAGCTCCCCCAACACCGTACCAAGAATAGCTTTTGCTATATATCGCAATTTGTGGCTCTTCTGTGGCTGAAGGCTTGCGCGCGCTGTTCATCTTTTTGGGACTGCCCAAAACTGACACTTGCAGTGTTTGACTGCAAAACCAATCCCCGTCTGGCAGCGGTCCATCTCTCAGCCAGGGTCTCAATGCCCACTCGAGCATGTGAACCACTGGCACCGTCCTGGCACTTATTGTTTTATCGAATTTCACCATCTGTGCATCACTGCGAGCTTCTTCATGGCAGGTGCGCTACTTCGACTCATGGCTCCTCAGTTGCAGCCAGTGATAAGTGCAGAGGCAATCAGGCGGCGGCATAATGCACAATTCCCACAAAACATGCTTTGGCAGTGTCAGAGCAAATGCCTCTCTAAGTCATGCGGTTTCTGAGGCGGTTGGCTGGCGTAGGGCTGTCATCTGGTGCCATTCCGGGCAAGGAAGCTACAGGCAGCCAGCCACAGGTATAACTGCCTTTGTGTGAATCTACATGAGTGAATCGGAGCATAGTTGAAGCAGTGCATTACATTCGAGCTGTGACATTCTCTGTCGGAAACGAGGTCTTCAGGTATACGAATAGTGTCCCCTTGTCTCTGGCACTTCTTCCCATCTGAACAGACTAAACAATGAGGAGTGCTCCCTGCTAGATACAACCGACACCACTCTTAGGGTCAACCTATACATGTATGCGATAGCAGATCGAGATCTCGCCCCATCCTAACCCTTAAAACAAACAGAGTAGAGCTGATGTAATCAAAATCCTGTTTCTTATGACCTTGCACTATGCACACAAGCAAATATTCCTTATGAGGGAAAGCTTGGAAGAGGTACTATACTGGGTCAACATAAACACCGTTGATTATTTAAATTGACAAACATACACTTCAAAATGTATTGCACGTGCTATGCCATTCCTGAATCTGTGGCGTGATCATCAAGGCGCCCCATTGCGGTTTGCACAACTCGCATCCTTGGCAGCACTTGCGCAGCGGTCAACTTCTCTCACAGGAGAGCCATCACCATAGAGAATGATGATTTAACCATTGGCATGAATATCAGATATCGGCACACGTTTACTGTTTCTTGCCCTACATTTATCGTGTATTTCTGTATACATGCTGTAGTTGACTCATTGCCGATTGTAACAAAAGTTTCCAGACCTTGCACAGCCGCACACTACGTGAAGACATGTAATCCGTATGACACAATGGTGCTCTAGGAGGTTCATTGGATTGCACTTTATTTTGTATTGTGACCTCAAGTACAATCAGTTGTACCTCACGCTTACATCCAGCCAGCAGAGTTGGGACTCCCACAAGTAGTCGCGGAACACCGACAAAAACTTTTTCTTTTTTTCCGCGTAACAGCTGACCAAATGGATGCGATCCCGATATTATCGGTAGCAATGAAAAACTTTTTGGCGATCTGTCTTCGACAGTTGAGAAGTGTCTTCTCCCCAGCCGCTGGATTGTGATGGCTCAAAAGTAAGCAGGACAAGAGCCAGCTAGGATATAAGCGACGTTTAGGCCCTTCTTGAAAACCTGCGACCAAGTCAAATCACTGATACTCTGTCGGGTCTACGCATGATGACCTCCGATACTGACCTTGAGACTGAAGGAGCGGCTGTGTCAGGGCGGCCTGACATTTCTGTGCGTAAAAACATGCTTCAATATACCTTGCGAAAGATGTCTAGCAGCCTTTACTGTGCATCGTATACAGGTAGACTTCAATTTGCGGAGTGGATATTTGCCTCCCTCTGATGATACCCAGATCACTCTCTGTGCTGCGCCGTTGACTCCGCAACAGTATGTTGTAAGCGAGCCGGTAACTGTTATTCCACTCAATGGATCCTGGATTTAATTGCTAAAGCAGGTATTTGCCACTTGATGGAGCGACTTTTGAACCGAGGGGTATTTGGGAAATAAATGTATCATAAATTGCTCGTGCCCAACATTTCTCTATATTTGGTAACAATTAAAAAACCGCCTTTGGTTATAAAAGGCAAAATAAATTCAGGATGCGAGGGTAGTTGGGCCATTCAGTTTTTGCGCATTTTGATATGGTATTTTTTGACAGGACTAATGTATGCCCAAAATATTCAATAAAAAGAAACGTTAAAGCTTGAATTATCTTTTTGAAATGTTGCTGAGAGCAGCAAATTTGTCGGAACCGAGATTAGGGTCATTGATATACTTGAATTCTGTTTTTCCAATGTTGATAAGTTTGAACAGGCAACCGCTGACTAATAATATTGTCATTCATTCCATCATATATTCCTTTTTAAACTACAGCAAATATTTGGATAGTTATTATGCTACAAACTGATGTCTGAAACACGTCTCTCCCAGACAGATTTAGGTCTATTCTTATTAGCTAGGGACTCTACAGTTCTCTTACTGCGCGATAGAGGTAAACCAATCAAGTATTGTTGTTTTGGCTAGGTTAGCATGGAACAATTTTCCGCCAGATATTGATTTGTAACAATAGTCTTCGGAATCAGTAGTGCGGCTGCATTGCCCATTAAAAATACTTGAATATTTATCATTCGAATGCTCCCATGATATAATTCTTGAAACTACTTTGGTCTCTATTTACTTCTTTCGGCTTCTATCAATTTTCTGACAGCAAACTTACAGCCTAAAATTGGATTGAAAACTGTTTCTTAATAACCCTGGCTGGGGTTTGGTAATGCTAGCAAACTGATAGTGTAATTCTGGAACAAACCTAAAAATTCAAAATGCAGAGTCTGCCGGCAGAAACTGT